AAAAGCTTTTGCACAGCAAGAGAAACTACCAAGAATGAGTACATAACCCCCAGGCTGAAATATCACTGTTCCTCAAAACAGGGCATGGTGGCACATGCCTATAATTCCACTTCTCAGGAGGCTGAGACAGGAGGATCACTGTGAGTTTGAGGCCAGCTTGGGCTACAAAGTGAGTTCAAGTCCAGCCTGAATTGCCTAGTGAAACTCTGTCTCAAACAAACAAAAAAACAAAACAAAAAAAAACAACAAAAAAACCCAAACAATAAAATACTACCTAGAACATATAAGTAACTAAAAAAAAAACACAGACCCCCCCAAATTTAAAGACCCAGTCCAAAAATTGTCTTCTGAAATGAATAGACACTTCTCAAATGAAGTAGAAATGGCAAATAAATATTTGAAAAAGTGTTCAACATCACTGGTCATTTGAGAGATGCAAATTAAATCAACACTGAGCTGAGCATGGTGGCACAAGCTTGTAATCCCAGCACTTGGGAGGCTGAGGCAGATCCCTGTGAGTTTGAGGCCAGCCTAGGCTACAAGAGCAAGTTCAAGGCCAGGCTGAACTACATAGTGAGACTCTGCCTCAAAAAAACAAAACAAGGTTCTTCCGGTGGCAAGCGGCGGCTTAGTCTGTGCTGGGCGAGATGGAGCTCGAGGCCATGAGCAGATAGATACACCAGCCCTGTTAACCCAGCTGTCTTCCCCCATCTGACCGTGGTGCTTCTGGCCATTGGCATGTTCTTTACCGCCTGGTTCTTTGTCTATGAGGTCACCTCCACCAAGTACACGAGGGACATCTACAAAGAGCTCCTCATCTCCCTGGTGGCCTCGCTCTTCATGGGGTTTGGTGTCCTCTTCCTCCTGCTCTGGGTTGGCATCTACGTATGAGTCTCTGGGGTAGCCTGGAGGCTTCACTGAGTCCCTGCTTTTGTAAATTAATTTTTTTACTGTTGTTAGAAGTATCCCCCTTGCTGCTCACAATAAAGGCAGACACGTGACAACAAAACAAAACAAAACAAAACAAAACAAGTGCCGGGAATATAGCTCAGCGGTGCAGCACCTGCCTGGCAAGCATGATGTCCTGAGTTCAAAATTTCTGGTACAAAAAAAAATGCTGAGATTCCACCTCACCTCAGAAAGAATGACTATTAAGGGCTGGGGATTTAGCTCAATGGCACAGTGCCTGCCTGGCAAGCACAAGGTTGTGTGTTTGATTCCTGGTACTGGGGAAAAAAAAAAAAAAGACTATTAACATCAACAAATCAACCAATAACAAATACTGGTGGAGCTGTGGGGGAAAAGGAACCCTTCTCCACTGTTGGTGGGAGTGTACACTGGTACAACCACTGTGGAAATCAGTGTGGAGATTCCTTAAAAACTAGGAGTACAGGTTCTATTCAACCCAGTTATTCCTTTTCTTGGTATCATCTTGAAAGAATTAAAAGGATCATACAACAGCAAATATGCACACCTGTGTTTATAGCAGCACAGTTCATAATAGGTAAATCTTGGAAACAGCCCAAATGCCTATCAACCAAGAAATGGATAAAGAAGATATGGGGGGCTGGGGATTTAGCTCAGCGGCACAGCGCCTGCCTGGCAACTGCAAGGTCGTGAGTTCGATTCCCGGTACCGGAAAAAAACCCAAAAAAGAAAAGAAGATATGGGATTTGTTTATAAAATGGAATACTATTCTGACACAAAGAAGTTAAGCTTGAGACATTTCTAGCTGAATGGATGCACCTTGAGATCATACTCTTAAATGAAATAAATCAGACACAGAAGTTTAAATACCACATTGTTTCTCTGGTGTGAGAAACCAAAAGTGTAAATAAGGACCAAAATGAATAATAGATATTGGGAAATGGAAGAAAATGTTCAGATGAGAAGGGGAACAAAGGAGGGGGAGAAAGGAAAAAGGGTGAAAGAAAAAAGTGAGAAAAGGAAAAATGGCAACAAAGCTTTTGTAAATAAGGAGGGGAAGAGGGGCTGCAGGGAAGGGAAGGGAATGAGAAAAAAAAGCAAGATCTATCATGTACAGGTACAAATTCCCTATGATGAGTGTTATCATTATATGTATCTAAAATGTACCAATGAAATTTTAAAAAAGATTAGGAAAAAATCAAACAAAAAGAAATCACTCCTCTTGGTCTGGGTCTGCATTTAGTGAGCAGTTACTACCTACAGGTAATTTGCAATGCACATTTTCTAGAAACTGGTCCAGCACTAAAGAATTTGCATGATATATGCTATTACTTGTACAATTCTGCCAAGATGGGGTGGGTTTTTTGTTTTGTTTTGTTTTTTGCTTTTTTGTCTTTTTGAGGCAGGGTCTCACTATGCAGTTCAGGCTGGCCTTGAGCTCACTTTGTAGCTCAGGCTGGTCTTGAACTTGCAACAATCCTCCTGCTTCAGCCTCCCGAGGGCTGGGATTACAGGCGTGTGCCAACACACCCAGCTGAGATTTTTTTTTTTTCTCTTGGTACAAATGTAAAACCCAAGGCATGAGAGAGTGCATTCATGCAATTAATATTTATTAGTGAGCTGGTGAGTACACTGCAAGAGTTTACCCACGGTTCTGGGGCTTCCCCAGTGAAGGCCTGCAGGTGTCACGGGCAGCTGTCCAGACTGAGCTGAACCATGCCCTCCACCCCTTCCCACCCAGCTCCTCCTCCCCACGCACAAAGGTGTCAGCACCACCATCCGCCAGGTGTCCCCAAGAGTCATCTTGTACTCTTCTTTCTCCCCCCTCATCTAACCTGCCACTAAGTCCAAAGGGTCCTTCCTCAGAACCTTCTCCATCACCCCAGTCTACTCTTTCCCATTTTGGAGTCTCAAGACTTCTGTGCTGCTGCCTCAGTTCTCCTCCCCTCTGAGGTGAGCTCCACCCAAGTCACCACCCATCTTTCCAGAACCCACATCAGGTGACCTCATCCCCAACCAAAGCCCTTTCCATAGCTTGCACTACCTGTCATGGCCTGGCCCATTTCTCCCGCTCCCCAGAACTCCAGCATTTTACCCCAAAAGACCACAATGTTTGCAGGCCTTTATTTTGCGTTTGGCTGTGGTCCATTTAACGTCTTTCCTTTTATGGCCTTGGAGGTGATACATGATTCAGCCAAGTTCACCTGCTTTCATACCCAAATCCTCTCCTCTGCTGCCACACTGGGCTGTGTGGGCTACCGACCAGGGGCTCTATATCTCATTGTCATTTCTCTAAGGGACCTCCTCAGCCTCATCCTCTGCCTTACTCTCCATTATCAGCTTCTGTTCTATCAAAGCAAAACGCCAATGTTTTATAGTGAAGTGCCCCCAAGTGGCCACAATAAGAAAAGCCGTATCTGTTCTGAGGAGTCTGGGAGGCTTCTCAGAGGAGGTGGATTTAAGAGGACTGTGGATTAAAGCTACTAATGAGCACATGCTCTGTGCTGGGCATTGTGCTCAGCAGTGAGTTTTCACTTAGCTCACTTCATCTACTCAACACAGACCCACAAGGGTCTGTGTTGTTAGGTATTATCACTGTACACCTGTTTCTACAAAGGAGGCAACCAAGGCTAAGACATTAGCTGGCTAAGTTTTGGGTAGGGATAAGAAGGCTTCTTTCTGGCTCCTACTCCAAAGTCCAGCTGAAGGGCTGAAGAATGAGTCTGTGCAGTGGACTGCTGTCATCAGCTCACCAGGGAGAATGCACCACGTCTGCAGCAAACAGTCCTCCTAGCACCCACTGCACACATCCCAGAGAGCTGTGGAGCCTGGGCAGGGGCACTAGGGTCAGTGAGGCAGAAACCAGAAGTACTCTGCCTTCCTGGGACAACATTCCTAGTCGGGATGGACTCCGCAAAGAGGGGATACCCCTGTGGTCAGGTCAGACCTGAAGGCAGGTGACAGGAACCCCAGGGTGGAGCCTTATTTTTCCCCAGGCAGACACCTCCTGCTTATCAGCCAGCAGGACACTTCTTCCCTCCCACCTGCGGCCTCCCACTGGAAAGTGGTGTCACAGCTGCAGGTCTGGGCAGAAGTAGGACCTTGGGACATGACCCAGGCAGTGCAACCCTCTATAGCTGGTACGCTTCTGGATCCAGACAGCCCTCATCCAGGGCTGGTGTAGGTCATAGTCCTCTTCTCCTTCTGGGGAAGTTTGGCTAAAGCAGCAGGACAGTATCAACTGGACAGCTCTGAGAGTGAAGGACACTCTTTAGTTGCTAGGACACGGCTACCAACAAGTGAGGGCAGTGATGACCTTGGCTTCAGCGCCCGAGAGTCGGTGGCCCCAGGAGGCAGAGTCTATCTAGGTTGACCAGGCAGGTGTCAGAGCTCCAAATGCAGTGCCCTGGGCCGGCGGCTCCCACCTTCTCCACACACCCAGATCGTCCCTTGTTCCTGCCAAGCTTCACAAGCTTCCCTTGCTCCTTCATGTTCTCACAGCACTGTGACCACATCTCTGAGCGTGTCCAGGAGGGCAGGGATGTTTGTTTTGTCCCCTCCTATGTCCTCATACTATAGATAGCTAAGTTAGGTGGATATTGTGTAGGCAGTCAGACAGGGCTGAGCCCTCGAGGAAGTCAGTGCAGCAGAAGATGGGAACAGATCGAAACTGTGGCTGGAGGCGCACCGGAAGAAGATTAAAGTCACAATGGCCAGATCCGCAAACTTCCCTAAGGGATAGGAAGCTTGAGATTATTAATATCACCCTTTTGAGAGTTCCCATTATCTCATTAGAGGTGGGCCATACTCTCCCACCATGACTAAGACTAAAGACAAGACTATAGATTATCAACCAAGGTTAATGATGTCATTCCACCATTGGATCAGTATTACCTAAGCGACTGTACTTTTCCTAAGGCTTAATTTGGACATGACTCTCCCAGTACCCAACCTGCCAGCAGAGGCATTGTTCTTAGCTTAGCACTGGGGCTGCCTTCAGCAGACACAGGATTTCTTAGAAGAGGTAAGATGGAATATGGACTCTTGCAAGCACCTGGACATCTAAAGGCACCCAAGCATTCACACTGGACGCCTCAAGGACTTTACCCACTGAGGCATGAAACATCTAGAGAACTTTGACCACTGATGTTTACTAAGATCTTCCTGCCTAATGTCTCTTGCTTTCTTTTAAGCCTTATTTTTATTTATTTATTTTTCTCCCTGGTACCAGGAATCAAACTCATGACCTTGCGTTTGCCAGGCAGGTGCTCTGCCACTGAGCTAAATCCCCAGCCCTAAGCCTTCTTTTTAAAAAGCCACTTCTCTGCTTCCTGCAAAGGCCCTCTGCCTGCCTCCACCCAGGCACAATAAATTCCACACCATGTTGCCTTTACATAGCCTGGTGTTATTGGCTGGTCTCTGCCTCTTGCTGCTCCTTACACCTGTAATCTTATTGGTTGATCATAATTTTGACCCATGTTGTACTGGCCTTGTGATTTTGCTCTATAAAACTTCAAGAAGTGAGTTCATTGGTCCCCTTGGGGCCCCTCCTGTCTCTCAGGAGCTATTCCCATTCCCCATTCCTATTCCCTATTCCTTTTCTCCAATAAGTAGTCCTACTCTGATCTCCATTGTTCCTTAGAATTCATTCTTTGACGTCAAGGAACACGAACTTGACATATCTGACATCTAGCATTTCTTTTAAAACACCAATGGTTTTTTTTTTTTTTTGACAAGGTTTATAGGAACAAATTAAATATTTAAAATCTAAGGCCAAATTTTAGGTCTCAATTGCTTATCCCATTCATTTCTACTCAGTGTACCTTTCCCTAATATCCTTTGTCAAGGAACAGGTCAAATCTGTGAAAATACCTTTCAACATTCAACATATACCAACATCTAGCATTTCTGCTGTATCACTCAGAGGCTGAAAGGGTGCCTGATAAAGAGGTATTCAGCCAGGCATGGTGACACACACCTGTAATCCCAGCACTCAGGAGGCTGAGGCAGGAGGATCACTGTGAGTATGAGGCCAGTCTGGGCTACATAGTGAGTTCAAAGCTAGTCTGAACTATATAGCAAGACTCTACCTTAAAAAAATAAAACAGGGCTGGGGATATAGCTCAGTGGCACAGTGCTTGCCTGGCAAGCTCAAGGTCCTGAGTTTGAGTCCCAGTACAAAAAAAAAAAAAAAAAATCCAGACTGGATGTCCATTTTGTTAATTTTTTTTGTTTTGTTTTGTTTTTTCCCAGTACCAGGAATAGAACTCAAGGCCTCACGCTTGCCAGGCAGGCGCTGTGCCACTTAACTAAATCCCCAGCCCCTAGATGTCCACTTTGGAATGAGTGACTTTATGAATAAATTCATCAGTTACTTTCCTAGTTATGTACTACAAACATATAAACCAATAAAAATAAAAAATTGTAAAAGATTAAAAATATATTAATAAAGCCAGGAGTGGTGGTGCACATCTGTAACTCCAGCACTTGGGAGGCTGAGGCAGAAGGATTACTCAGAATTCGAGGCCAGCCTGGACTACATAGGAGACTCTATCTCAAAAAAAATTAATTTAAAAAAAAAAAACCAGTTTCCTATCATTCATGACTAGTGCATTGAGCACTGCTCCTGCTGGCTGACAGCCTTTCCCAGGGTAGGGCAGCCGTGTCACCTGTGTGACTCCAGCGCAGCACCCGGCCTTGCACAGACCATGTGGCCCACCCACCTCCCGCAAGGCAGTGAGGGAAGCAGCCCGGCGCCCTCCCGGGTAGCCCTTGCCCTCCACCCACACGAGGGCCACCGTGGGCCAGACTGAGTAACCGGCACGGGGCTTCCTGACCTCCCCAGCTCTGCCACTTTCTGGAAGACAGTGAGCTCAAGGAGTGGGACTGCTCCGCCTGTCTCTTGTGAAGATAGACAGCGACTGTGATTCGACTGGGTCTTCGGGCAGCTTATCCACGCAGGGCGACCACATGAGCTGAGAAGCCTGGTTCTGAAAGCCTAGGATCAGCCGGGGTCCAACAGCTCGGACGGGTTAGCGACGGGGCTGAGGGCCGGGTCGGCCCTTGGTGTCCAGGCGCGCAACTGCAGCACGGACTGGCGAGAGGACTCAGGCTGGGCAGGGCCAGACCGCTCCTGTCCTTCTCCGAGGTCCTCGCCACGTCCCCCAGCGGCGCGGGGATCGCGTTCAGCTCGGAGATCGCGTTCAGCTCTAGTTAACGTGGGGCTTTCGGACCCGGAAGTTACGTCATAGGCGCGCGTCACGGGGAGTCAGCTGAGCTGCCTGGGCGAGGCTGGGATCACTTGGGATCGGCTCCAGGGATCCTGTGCTCTCTTGGGGGCGGGATTGGGGTGCAGGACTGTACCAGATTCGGGGAGCGCTCGGCGATCTTCCTGCTCTACAGGGCGTGAGAGAAAAAGTCTCAGGGTTTTTAAAAGGAAGCGGCGGCAGTTTTCCAGATCTGTCAGAGGCTGGGGAGTCACAGCTTCCGGTCCGGGGCGACGGGGCCCGAGGGGAGCCCTGCTGTGATCCCCGGGCCCCGGAGGAAGAGCCTAGAGGCCAAGCGCCATGGCGTCCATCCTGGACGAGTACGAGGACTCGCTGTCCCGCTCCGCCGTCTTGCAGCCCGGCTGCCCAAGCGTGGCCATCCCCCACTCGGGTAAGGCTTTCCTAGCAGCTGCGGAGAGGGCGGTCCCAGGGGTTCGCAGTCGCCTCCAGGATGTGCATTCCAGACTCAGGTCCCTTCTCGGGCTCTCTTGATGCTCGGCGGGCGGTGGGTCGAAGTTTGAAAGCGCTCCAGGAGCAACCGCTGGATCTAGGCCCTGCCGGTAGAGTTGTTTTTAAAGAGAGAACTGGGACTCAGATAAGGAAGTGCCTTCCTACAGGGCTGCAGCTAGGTTCTTGGGAGAACTGAAATAGGCTCTGGGCTTCTCCGGACAGATTCGGTGCTGTGCCCCCAGGCCCCTCGCCTTCGGAGGGTGGGAGGGTGGAAATGAGTGAAGAAACTGGTGGAAGAGGAATGTTGTAGGGAAGGAGAGGTGCTCCTAAAGGGAACTTTGTCACTGAACAGGGAAATATGGAAATGAGGTATTCTTGGCCTGGGCTACAGCTGGGTGCAGCCTGGATTTTAGGGGAAATTTTATAGAAAATAGAGCAGAGTTGGCAGAGCCCTGGGATATTTTGAGCAACCGATTAGAGAGAAAGCAGCTGCAGGAACGGTTCCCCAGGGCTTTCTCTGCCTTGCAGTCTTTTGGAGCCTCACTGGGTCTCACGACTGCACGGTAGGAGGAGAGAAAAATGGAGCTGGAATATTTAAATTGAGCTGGGAAAGCTGGGCCCAGACCATCTCCCCCTACAGATACCACCTCCCCCCCAGACTCCTCCCTCCCCCTCTTACCACTGGGAGGGGGTACAGTGTGCTGTTAACAGCATCTCAGGTCAGCAATGTAGGAAGAGTCCAGGATTCTTGCAAAGGTGACCAGCAAATTACCTGATACCAAACTGTTAATCAAGACCCTACATATAGGAATATTATGAGAAGGTGTGGCAAGTAGCACTGCTGTTTCCCTTTTTTTTTTTTTTTTTTTTTGGTACTGGGAATTAAACTCATGACCTCGTGCTTACCAGTCAGGTGCTGAGCTACTGAGCTATATCCCCAGCCCGCACTGCTATTTCTTGAGGGTTTTTTTTGTTTTTTGTTTTTTGGGGTTTTTTTTTGTGCCTGTCCTTCCCTTCTGTAGCTTATCTTTTCTTCGTTTCTGTCCTCCAGGCTATGTGAATGCCCAGCTAGAGAAGGAAGTGCCCATCTTCACAAAGCAGCGCATCGACTTTACACCTTCTGACCGAATCACCAGTCTTGTGGTGTCTTGCAATCAGCTCTGCCTGAGCCTGGGGAAGGATATCCTCCTCCGGTAGGTAGGAGCCCAAAGGTTTAAGAGGAGGGAGTGGAGAGGTATGGTGACTGTCAGCTGACCCAGGCCTTTCTTTCACTCTAGGCAGTGAAGAGAGAGATTTGTAATTTTTAAGAAATAGTCTGTCCCTTCCCAAACAGAACCAATATAGTATACTAGTAAAAAATCAGAGATGTGGATTCAGATTGCACCTGTGGAATCTTAAACAATACATCTAGCTGGGGATTTAGCTCAGTGGCACAGCGCCTACCTGGCAAGCGTAAGGTCGTGAGTTCAATTCCCGGATCCAGAAACAAAACAAAACAAAACAAAACAAAAACCACAATGACATCTAATCTCTTAACATGGTCCTTCGTCTGTGGAGTAGCCCTAGTCCACAAGTTAGTCATATAGATCACTGGAACTGTCTAGAGTCGTGAAATATATCTGTTAGAAATGGAAATAGGGTTGGGGATTTAGCTCAGCAGCACAGCGCCTGCCTGGCAAGTGTGAGGTCATGAGTTCGATTCCTGGTACTGGAAAAAAAGCAAAACCAAAAAAAAAAAAAAAAAATGAAATGAAAATAATACATGCCAGCAAAATGGTTTATCTGTCTAGAAAACCATCTAGGATAAAACAGCTAGGCTTCTGTCTTACAAAAATGAATTCTACATGGACTAGTTATTTAAATATTAAAGAATGAGAATATTGAAAGAACATTTAATAAATTTTATTAAATGTTTAATAAATTCTTATCTAAAGGGAGAGCTTACTCCAGCTAGAAAATTAGAAACCATAAGGACAAAGATATGTATCTGTAGATCGCTATAGGTAGCTTTTGGTTTTTGAGACAGGTTCAAGGTTAGCCTTGAACTCATTATATAACCCAGGTTGGCCTTAAACTCATGCTGATTCTCCTGCCTCAGCCTCTTATATGCTGGGATTACAGGGGTGAGTCACCATACCCAACTCTATAGATATCTTACTGCAGAATAATTGCGGATAAAATGAAACAAATGCAAAAAAAAAAAAATGAAACAAATGCAGTATGAATCATGTCACAGAGCTATAGCCCTTTCCTCTCCTCCCACTTGTATTAAATTCTGAGACAGAGTCTTGCTAAATCACTAAATTGCTCAGAGGCTGACTCAGACTTGCCTGCCTCAGCCTCCCAGAGTGCTGAGACTACAGGTGTGCACCATCATACCTGACTAGCTGGCGGTTAAGTCGGACCCTGTATAGATTTTACTCTTCTCTTGGGATTATATTCAGAATTTTTTTGTGTATATGTAGATTAAAGGGAAGGAAGACTGGGTTTTATCAGATTATTAAGAGGTTGGTGATCTAGAAAAGGATCTGCCTTCTCTAGAGTGACCCTACAGCATCGACCCTACTCTTGTCCCCACAGCATCGACTTGGGCAAGGCCAATGAGCCCAACCATGTGGAGCTGGGGCGCAAGGATGATTCCAAAGTGCACAAGATGTTCCTGGACCCTACTGGTAATTTGGTGGTGAAGGTCGGAGGAGGGGGCTGCGGATAAGTCACTGCCTGGGTGAGGGGGATTTGATGGGGAAGGGACAGGAATGGCAGCATCCACTCGGGTGCCGTGTTCTGCCCACTCTAGGTTCTCACCTGCTGATTGCTCTGAGCAGCACGGAGGTCCTTTACATGAACCGTAATGGACAGAAGGTGCGGCCACTAGCACGCTGGAAGGGGCAGCTGGTGGAGAGTGTGGGCTGGAACAAGGCACTGGGCACCGAGAGCAGCACAGGTCCCATCCTGGTTGGAACTGCCCAAGGTCAGATCTTCGAAGCAGAGCTCTCAGCCAGTGAGGGTGGGCTTTTTGGCCCTGCCCCAGATCTCTACTTCCGTCCATTGTATGTGCTGAACGAAGAAGGGGGTCCAGCACCTGTGTGCTCCCTGGAGGCTGAGCGGGGTCCTGATGGGCGTGGCTTTGTTATTGCCACCACTCGGCAGCGCCTCTTCCAGTTCATAGGCCGAGCGGCAGCAGAGGGAACTGAGGCCCAGGGCTTCTCAGGGCTCTTTGCTGCCTACACAGACCACCCACCCCCATTCCGTGAGTTTCCCAGCAACCTAGGCTACAGTGAGTTGGCTTTCTATGTACCCAAGCTGCGCTCTGCACCCCGAGCCTTCGCCTGGATGATGGGGGATGGCGTGTTGTATGGTTCATTGGACTGTGGGCGCCCCGACTCCCTCCTGAGTGAAGAGCGCGTCTGGGAGTACCCAGAAGGAGTAGGTCCTGGGGCCAGCCCGCCCCTAGCCATCGTCCTGACCCAGTTCCACTTCCTACTGCTGTTGGTGGACCGGGTGGAAGCTGTGTGCACCCTGACAGGGCAGGTGGTACTGCGAGATCACTTCCTGGAGAAGTTTGGGCCACTCAAGCACATGGTGAAGGACTCTTCCACAGGTCAGCTATGGGCCTATACTGAGCGCGCTGTCTTCCGCTACCACGTACAGCGTGAGTCCCGTGATGTCTGGCGCACCTACTTGGACATGAACCGCTTTGACCTGGCCAAGGAGTACTGTCGGGAACGACCTGACTGCCTGGACACAGTTCTGGCCCGGGAGGCCGATTTCTGCTTCCGTCAGCGTCGCTACCTGGAAAGTGCCCACTGCTATGCCCAGACCCAGAGCTACTTTGAGGAGATTGCCCTGAAATTCTTGGAGGCCCGGCAGGAGGAGGCCCTGGCTGAGTTCCTACAGCGAAAACTGGCTAGTTTGAAGCCAGGCGAGCGTACCCAGGCCACGCTGCTGACCACCTGGCTGACAGAACTCTATCTGAGCCGGCTTGGGGCTCTGCAGGGTGACCCAGAGGCCCTGAACCTCTATCGGGAGACCCGAGAGCGCTTCCGCACCTTTCTCAGCAGCCCTCGCCACAAGGAGTGGCTCTTTGCCAGCCGGGCCTCTATCCATGAGCTGCTCGCCAGTCATGGGGACATGGAGCATATGGTGTACTTTGCTGTGATCATGCAGGACTATGAGCGGGTGGTGGCGTACCACTGCCAGCATGAGGCCTATGAGGAGGCCTTGGCTGTGCTTGCCGGCCACCGTGACCCCCAGCTCTTCTACAAGTTCTCACCCATCCTCATCCGTCATATCCCCTGCCAGCTGGTAGATGCCTGGATCGAGATGGGCAGCCGGCTGGATGCCCGGCAGCTCATCCCTGCTCTGGTAAACTATAGCCAGGGTGGTGAGGCCCAGCAGGTGAGCCAGGCTATCCGCTACATGGAGTTCTGCGTGAATGTGCTTGGGGAGACTGAGCAGGCCATTCACAACTACCTGCTGTCACTGTACGCCCGTGGCCAGCCAGCCTCACTGCTGGCCTACCTAGAGCAGGCTGGTGCCAGCCCACACCGTGTACATTATGACCTTAAGTATGCGCTGCGGCTCTGTGCTGAGCACGGCCACCACCGTGCTTGTGTCCACGTCTACAAGGTGCTGGAGCTGTACGAGGAGGCTGTGGACCTGGCCCTGCAGGTAAGTCTTGACCCCAGCCAGGAGAGGGACCTGGAGAGCAGTAGTCTGAGAGACTAAAGAGTTGGCAGGATGCGGGGCAAGGGTAGAGGGTGCTGACTTCTCTTGCAGAGAGGCACTATAATGTAGAGGTTAAGGACAGAGTTGGAAGTCAGGGTTGAATTCTGGCCCTGCCACTTAACTCGACTTGTGACCTTGGGCTGCTTCCTGAACTTCCCTATGCCTCAGATTATTTTGGCTTTTTTTTTTTTTTTTAATGAGACAGGGTCTGCTGTGTAGTTCAGCCTGGCCCTGAAATCACTGTGTAGCCCAGGCTGGCCTCAAACTCACAGCAATCCTCCTGCCTTAGCTTCCTGAGTACTGGAATTACAGGTACTACACCTGGCTTATTTGGCTTTAAAATGGGGGTAATGTTGAGTATTCTCACCTCATACTATATAAGAAAAGTACTCAGGCTGAGTGTGGTGGTGTATGCCTATAATCATAGTACTCAGGAGGCTAAGGCAGGAGAATCATTGCAAGTTCAAGACCAGCTTGGGGTGGGGCTGGGGATCTAGCTCAGTGGCACAGCGCCTGCCTGGCAAGTGCAAGGTCGTGAGTTTGATTCCCGGTACCAGAAACAACAACAACAACAACAAAAAAACCCAAGACCAGCCTGAGTTACAAACAGCTCAAGGCCAGCCTGAACTGCATAGTGCCTATCTCAAAAAAAAAGAAAGAAAAGTACTCAGCACAGTGGCCAGTATATACTTTTTTTTTGGTCTTTTTGAGACAGTGTCTCACTATGCAGTTCAGGCTGACCTGGAGTCCACTTTGTAGCCCCGGTTGGTCTCAAACTCACAACAATCCTCCTTCTTGAGCCTCCCAAGTGCTGGGATTACAGGTGTGTGCCACTACGGCCAGCTATATATGTTAGAAGACAGAAAATGTGCTGAATTACATTTCTAAGATTATGAATCGTCCCTTAGTTTATGATCACATGAAGTGCTAGTGAACATGCAGATTCCTCAGCCTGAACTTACCAACCAGGATTTACTGAAGCAGAATGCCTGAGGACAGGACTCAAAAATCTGTATGCTGGGGCTGGGGATGTAGCTTTGTGGGAGAGTGATTGTCCAGCATGCAGGAGGCCCTTGGTTCAACCCCAAGCAGTGCCCACCACCAAAAAAGAGATTCTGAATATGTTCCAAAGTGATTTTTAAATTCACTAAAGTTAGAACACTGCCACATTAGTAGCTTTTCCATAGCTGTGTCAGGGACAGGCTTATTGCTGACACAGTCTTCTGTCCTGGCCCTCTGGCTGCCTACAGTGGTGGGAATTCTGCCTGAATCCTCTCCTCAGGCCCAGGCTCTCCCTGCAAGTGTCTGTCCCACAGGCTCAGTCTGGGGTGGGGAGGGCCTTGACCCTGACTTCCACGGTTTCCCCACAGGTGGACATGGACCTGGCTATGCAATGTGCAGACTTGCCTGAGGAGGATGAGGAGCTCCGCAAGAAACTGTGGCTCAAGATCGCTCGGCACGTGGTACAGGAAGAGGAAGACGTGCAGACCGCCATGGCCTGTCTGGCCAGCTGTCCCCTACTCAAGATTGAGGATGTGCTACCCTTCTTCCCTGATTTTGTCACCATTGACCATTTCAAGGAGGCAATCTGTAGCTCACTTAAGGCCTACAACCAGCACATCCAGGAGCTGCAGAAGGAGATGGAAGAGGCCACAGCCAGTGCCCAGCGCATCCGGCGAGATTTGCAGGAGCTGCGGGGCCGCTATGGCACTGTGGAGCCTCAGGACAAATGCGCTACCTGCGACTTCCCCCTCCTCAACCGCCCTTTTTACCTCTTCCTCTGTGGCCACATGTTCCATGCTGACTGCCTGTTGCAGGCTGTGCGGCCTGGCCTGCCTGCTTACAAGCAGGCCCGGCTGGAGGAGCTGCAGCGAAAGCTGGGGGCTGCACCACCCCCAGCCAAGGGTTCTGCCCGGGCCAAAGAGGCTGAGGGTGGAGTTGCTGCTGGTGGGCCCAGCCGGGAACAGCTCAAGGCTGACCTAGATGAACTGGTAGCTGCTGAGTGCGTGTACTGTGGGGAGCTGATGATCCGCTCCATTGACCGGCCCTTCATTGACCCGCAGCGCTATGAGGAGGAGTACCTCAGCTGGCTGTAGGATGGTGTGTCCCCAACACAGTGGACAGGCAAGGGGAGCAGCTGCTCGTGCCTCTTGGGAAGGCCACACCTAGTCTGTGCTCAGTCTTGCAGTTTGTGTGGGTTGGGAGTGGGAGTCATTCTGCCGGCCTCCCACTGTGCTCTGACCTGCTTAGACTGCGGTCCCCCCAGACCTGCAGCCCATTCCCACCCCTGTGTCTCAACCTTGTTATTCCCCACCCGCACCTTCTGGACTGAGAGGATCCTTGTCCACTCTGTGGTCTCTGGACCTACCTCTTCTCCCTCAGGGGAGGCCGTCTCCTTTGTGCACTGCGTGTCCCAGAGGTGGGAAGGCAGCCGTCCCAGGCGTGGGGAATGGCGGGAAGGTGATGCACACTCCAGGGCTCCTGTGTGAGGAGTCTGTGTGTCTGAGGGCCTCATGGGCACAGTGGGAGATAGCGGTGGGTGGAGAATATTAAACTGCTGCACTGGCAGCTCTGAAATTGATGGCGTGGCGCTGATGCTGGGTTGGGGGGGTGTAAGTGATCTCTAGGCGGGCTGGGTGCTCCAGCCTTTGCGCACAGCCCATCACCTGAGACAGGATGAGCTTGTTGGATTCTGCTGGCTTTCTTGTCCACTGGGTCCCCTGCCTGCAGGGCTGTGTGGGGCATTACAGCCCTGCCCCCCGCTACCAGCATGATTCCGGAGCAAGGGCTGTTCCTCCCTCCAGTCAGCAGGTGGTGCTACTGCCCACGGAATTCCTCAGATCAGTCTTAGTGCTGCTTTAGCTTTTCCCTCCCTGGTTGTCACAAGAATTTTCTAGATGTCTCTGCTGCCGTGATTCTGAGCACCTCATTCTTCCTTCCATTAGCCCTTACATGTGCTAGATTTTGCTTGCCCCTTTGCCAGCTTGGATCCCTGCCTTTCTGGCTTTACCTGGCCCTTCTGTGGCTATTGTAACTATTTGTGGGATTCAGCAGATCTGTTTTCTCCTCACCTTGCTCCCATGACCTGCTCCACCCTCCAGGTTAGACTCCTGAAGTTGGCTCTGGAGGCTGAGTCCTAGGGAGTCCTGGAGTGGGGCCTTCCCACGACAGCAGCTGCACACCCTTTGCCCCAACAGGTGTTCATGGTGTACTGCCCAGCTGGTGTGATGTACCAGCTGGCCCAGGCAGGGGGAGAAAAAAGTGTTCCTTTAATCAGGCTGGTAAATGTCTCCTTCTCTTCCCCCAGTGTAATCCTCTCCTAGAAATGTTACCTTCTGCAGTCCTGGTTGGATCTGTCCCTGCTGAAGTCCCCAAAACAACAGGATCTCTTCACAGGCTCTGCCAGCGTGGGTTAGAAGTTGCCTGGCTGCCCAGGCTCCCCGTCCTTTCCCTGAAGCAAGAGTAGGAGCGAGTGGAGGGAGGGGTATCTTGGGTGGGTAGAGTGCATTGTAATGTGTTCTCTGCTGCTGCAGGGTGTGGTGCAGCATGCAGCCCTGCTCCCATCCTCTTTCCGTGTGGCCTAAGACTCGCATCTAATATAACTCGACAATGGCGTAGGGGTCTCTACTGTCCCATCAGTGAGTACTGGTAGAAAACCTTGGTCTGCCAGTGGCTCGGTCACTTGCTTAGGTAAAACAGTTCTGCACTTCTGTTTTACACATAATTGGTACCTGATAACTGTAGTGAACCAAGCACTACTCCATTGCTCTTTGCTCCCAGAGGGCTTGGCTAAAGCAGCCTGGGATGCCCCTTCCCCTTCTGCTAAGCCTCCCCATCTGGTCCTAGGCTGCTTCCTCTTTCCTGGGAAAAGGCCCCCAGCTTCCCTGGCACTGACAGAATGGGGTTCCGGTGAGTCAGGGCAACGGGAAGCCACAGCTCTTAGATCCCTGGAAACAAGCAGGGCCTGGAACGCAGAGCAGAGAAAAGCACTTCGGGGCTCTGGCCCTCAGCCTGGGGGAGGGTCAGAAAGAAGAAGGGGGGAGCAGTTGCGTGGGCAGCCGCCAAGATGAATGAGCTGCTCCTGGAAATAGGAGGCGTGGCCACAGGCAGTGACGCTGGGACCAGGGCAGGAGGCCTGTAAACAAGGAAGCCACCTGGGGGATGCACTGGGCGGGCACTGGTCCTGGGGAGCAGGTGCTTCCTGAGTCCCACCCTGAGAGGGCCCTGGGGGCCCATGCTGCCCAGTTGGTCACTGGCACGAGGGGGCGCTGTCTACTGGCGTCCCAAACCCCCACTTCTGGGGGAGTGGCCGCCAGAGGGTGTGCCGGCCTGGAGTCCCCAGGCCGCCTCCCGGGCATACTGGCCAAGGGCACCAGCCTGACATGGGGCGCGCGGCTCAGGCTGGCAGGCTGGGTGTGAGCTCATTCCCTTCGGGACGACCTTTCTCGGGTTCCTGCCCTTCCCCCCTCCAAGGCTCGGGGCGCAGACTAGGACCTGGCACCACCCCCGTTGGTTGGAGGGGTCCCTAAGGCCACCAGGCTCCAGGGCCGCCCTTGGCGCCAGGGAAACAAAAGGTTAGGGGCCCAGAGGGAGTTATCTGGCCCCACCACCAGCGGGTGGGGGAGGGGCACCAAGGGGGCACACCTCGCCTCCGTCCCCCTAGCTCTATCGATTCTGATTCTTCGAGACACTTTCACAGGCGGAAATTCCCAGAGGTCAGAGGAGGGAAACGGTTAATTCCTTTTATTCAATGGGTCCCCCCTACACGACTCCCCCCAGCTTCCTCCCTCCACTTCCCGCCCCCCCTGTGTGAACAGGAAGTGGAAAGGAAAAGGCTCTGAGCAGAGCAGCTGGGAGCAGGAGGCGGGGAGTGGGCGGCAGGCTTAGTGCCAGCCCTACCCCTCTTGTTGCTTGCTGGAGGGCCTGGCGGACTGTGGCCTAAGAGGGAACCTGCAGCCTCCCTGGCCAGTGGCATGCAAACTGAAACAGCCCAACGCCCAAGCCCCCTTTCTCCAACCTGCTTTCAGCCCGGGAGCCGCAGCTGTGAGCATGCAAGGCCCCCTCTGCCCATCCTCCAGCTGCTCTGGCCACCATGACCCAGCCCCCATCACCAGGCTGGGCATCCTGAGACTGGCAGGCAGCTCTTCAGGCAGCCGCCAGTTCTGGCACTGGCTCCACCACTCAGCCCCTTGGCCCTGCCAGTCCTTTGAAGCTCATGCAATGCTTCCTGTTTGGGGCGGGCAATGCCAGGGCCCCTCCCCCACTATTGTTCTGTGGAGACCATAGGTCCATCTGTTGCCCCATGGTGGGGCCCCTAGGCAGTGCCACACGGGACCAGCACCACAAAGGACCCTGCTGGCAGCTTAGCGTTTGTGGGGCGAGGCTGGGCCCTGCGGCAGGCTGAGTGCGAACAGTGGTCAGTGGGGGGACGGTGAAGAGAAGGATGCTGGGTAGTCCAGTGCTTGGGCGACCCTTCACCTGGAGCGTGGAGGTGATGCTGTCCAGGAGCTGTGCCTGCTCAAGCCGCCGGGACAGAGACAGTGTTCTCATGACCATGTTGCAAAAAGGAAAACTAAGGCAGAGCAGGCAGCTTTGGCTTAGGCTGACCAATAAAGGGGCACAACCTAGGATTTTCCTTTCAAGGGATTGGTCCCCTGTCTGAATGCCCAGGATTGGTGTTTTCTTTTCCAGGGAATCTCTGCTTTTGAAGTAATTATTTTTTATTTTTTTATTTTTTAGCTGTGTTAGGGGTTGAATATAGGGCCTTTATACTGAGTTGCATCCCAGCCCCCACCTCCACTTTTTAAAACTTTTATTTACAGGGTCTTAAGTTGTTAAATTGCCCAGGCTGGGCTCAAACTTCTGATGGTCCTGCCTCAGCCTTCGAGAGTGCTGGGATTACAGGCATGCACCACCAAAATACATTTCTTGAAGTAATTTTTGAACTAAGCAGTCAGGAGCCGTGCCATGAGGTCATGGCAGGTTTAATTGCCCTCGGTTGGCAACCAGAAACTGATGTCCATTAGGGCAAGACAGGATTGAAAACAGGGCAAGGAGCATTTGTCTGACCCCAGGAAGATGAGTGCTGTTCTTGGTTCTCAGGCTGCTGTGGCCAAAGTTCTGTTTGTGTTTCCCAGGTGCAGAGGCAGGTGCCATATATCCTGGCAGCTCACCTTCCTTGCTATGGTCCAATCTCACAACCTTGAAGCACAACCTGCTTCTTCCCTGGCTCTCTTCGCCACAAGGCTAGAAGCCCAGGCAAAACCCACCCTACTTCCTTCTCCAGATCCTCAGCCCGGGACCTGAACTGCTCTTGGCTGCCAGTGGGCCAGAGCTGCAGAGATCTCAGAGACCATGGAGGGCTGTGGAATCCTGTTCAAATAGAAACCTTCTTGGATGTCCAGTCCCTGGATTTCATTTGCTGAGCACATCTGGGGAAAACTAGGCTGGATGGTTCACACCCACCCCTGTTCAGCTTGTCCCTTCCTCTTCCACCAATCTCTCTGGGTGCCCAGGAACCCCATTTAGAAACACTGAGCTACCCTTTTCACAGATAATCGAAAAGAAGTTGGATCCTTGGCGGTTGGCAGGGATCCTGTGCCCATGGTGGGGCAGACATTATCCTAGGGGCCCTTCCTGATGCTCATTTTCCACCTCCAGCCAAAGTGGCTTGAGCTGACGCTGGAAAGAGCAAATGCAGGTCTTTGCCCTACTATTTATCAGCCGTCACCACCAGGCTAATTGTGCCCTATAGAGCCTCAGATCCTAATGTGAGTACACAGCACACCTTGCCCAGCTCTTACAGAGCTTCACCAAGAACGGTCCAGTACATCTGGAAACTGAGCCCAGGCCCGGGCTATGGAGCAGTCTCTGGCCACTGGTTTCTCTTCCTTTTACCCTGAACCTCATCCTCTAGGTCTAGGACTTCTTAAGCACTACAGCAGCTCTTGCCTCTCGAACCCTCTTCTCTGGGAATCAGTGGGATTGGAAGAAGGAGGCTTATTGAAGAAGAGTTTTCTGGTTTTTGGCAGAGTGGGGACTCTGGGGAAGAGGGACTCTGGATGAGAATACAACCACTGAGGTGGGACGGGAGTGCTCTCTTGGGGGCAGGGTCCTGGTTTCCTGGAGGAGGAAGGCATGATTCCAACTCCAGATGACCAATGGGACATGCTGAAAGGGATGGACAGACCTCTCTCTGGCCACTGAGCAGGCCTGGCCCCTCTGCCAGTCTGCCCTCTCTGTCCAGCCCAGAGTTTGCACAACAGCCTGACTGGCTGGCACTCCCCTGAGAGCTTCAGGAAGTCCCCCTTGTCCCCTCTTGCCCTTTGACCCCCTTTGGGCCTGCTGCAGGCAAATTCCAGGCAGACGTCTTCTTTTTTACCTCCTGTTCCTGGCCATTTCCCTAAAGGCTAAAACTCTGAGACACCCTCAAGCCTTACCTACCACTTGTCCTTTCGCATACCCTGGAGAATGGACCAACCGCAAAGGCGACTGGGACAGTTCCCTGGCCACAGCCAGCAGGACATTGGGCTATGACTCTGAAGGGCCCACACCTCGCAGGAGCTCGCTCTCTGTCTCTCC